AATTTTGGTACAATACAGTGAAAAAAAAATATCTTACTATATATAAAAGAGGATAGAGAGATTTGTGTGAACAAATTGTGACTTAATATATTATAAAAGATACTCTTATTTTAAAAAAAAAATTATATCATTTTAACTATTCACTTCCCTACAATCACTCTACAATAAAAAAAAATTTGAACTTTTTGAAATTACTACTTTTCAACAAAAATGATTCTAATCCTTTTAATACTTTTTATTAATTACACACATATTGGGCATGCTTAAAGCTCTGTTTTCAAACTCGGACCGGACCGGCCGGTCGAACCGGTTGAACCGGGAACCGGCCAGGTAGCCGGTCCGAGTCACATTAGAAAACCGGAAATTTAAAACCCGGTCAAAGCCGGTCAAAAACCGGGTTTGACCGGGTTTGACCGGGAAAAAACCGGTTTTTCCGGTTCAACAGTATTTTTTTAAAAAAAAATTCAAACTTTTTAATATTATGTTTTGACCCCCTAAATTGTTAAAACTTATTGATATACCTCAAATATTTGATACTTTATAAATATTGTCCTAAAATTTGATGTTATTTTTCAATTAAATTCATAATTTTAATTCTAAACTTGTTAATATTTATTAAATAATATAAATTGCTACTTGATTGTTCTAATTTCTTTGTATTTTCTTGTTAAATATATTTGAAACATCAAATATATATGAATATGCCTTTATTAATATCAATATATTATTAGATATTATATATATAACATTTTAATTTTAAAATAATTTTTATTTATGACGTCATCCGGTTCGACCCCTATCGACCCCCGGTCGAACCCATTGACCCCTGACCCCTGACCTCGGCCGAGTCGCTATCCGGTCCGGTTCTGAAAACATAGGCTTAAAGCACTCGAAAATTGAATGAGAGGGTGTTTAGCAACATGGATTTACTATTAATGTGTTAAAAAAAGTTTACTAAAGAATAAATTTTGAACGCGCGTCTACTTTATACTTCCAATATGGTTATGCAAATATAAGAAAATTTTCTTGAACTTCCCTAATCTCTATGGATGGTGATATCGTAGTGGCATGGTTTGCTTTCTTCTTCCTTATTAAACTAAAACTAAAATTGATTTATTTATCAAATACTGTATAATTTTTTTTTATCAAAACTAGTATGTAAGCAGCACCTTTCTTTTTTTAAAGTGGAATTAGCTCAAAACTTGACATCTTTATATTTGGATTTTAATCAAAATAATATTTTCCCCCTTTTTAAGCTAAAAGCATGTTTGCATATTGAAAACCAATAATGCACTTATATGTTAAATTATTCACACATGTTTGAGAGACCTTAAACTTAAAAAAAAAAAAGAAAAAAATCAGAGTAAGTCACAGTCTTGCTACTTGAGAGAAAAAAATATGTATAAAAATCAATTATTCACATTCATTCTAATTTGAAAAATATTGAAACATATTTATGCTTGGCATCTTATTCTTCATATCAATAAGCAAATACCTCTTTTTTATTTTGATTTGATATACTTTTGAAAGAATCCTAGTAGATAATTCGTTTACAACACCAATAATTTGCCTAATTGGATAGCTGATTTCCTTTTGAGATTTATTGGACGTATCACTAGGTACAATCTTAGATCTAAATGAAACCTATTAGTATTATTATTAATTTTTAATGAGTTTGAGTCTGTATTTTTAAATCCAAACTGTATTTATATTCAAATTCTGTAAAAGAATCATGGTTTAGATAGAGTTTCAATTATACAAAATAAACCTACTAGACCCATAATTGGTTGATAACATTTCAAAAAATATAATAGTTGGTTCACAATATTTGATATTGTTAGTTTGTAGTTCTTTCAACATTCCAGTGTTAATTTTAATTGAAAATGATAATTGAATTATAAAAATTATAATATTTAAAACCCATATATATAATTTTTTTTTTAAAATTTTAACGTGTACTTGTATATTGCAGGGGGAAAAAAAAATTACGCTACCCAGATTCATTCGGGTATCGAGTCCTGGTCTAAAAATTGGGTACAAATAAATTTAATGGGTTCAAGTCTAACCCACCCATTAACATGCCTATAATCAATTTAAACTTAGACAAATAGTGGCCAAGTCGGCTTTTCTCTTCACCCTATTCCTTCCCAAATTCCATCTGCTTCTCCGGTTCCCAACTCCTGCCTCCCCTCCCATTCCCTTCCCAAACAATCTGCAGCAAGCCCGTGCATGGCTTCTGGAGCGGAGAACAAGAGTGACCAGCTGGCTGAATCGCTCAACGATCTCTTCATCAATGTTTCTACTATGGTCAAGGGCGAGCTTCAGGTACAGTTCAGATAGCTCGCTCGATTTCTTTTAAGAATTATATGATCTTTATTACTTCTTTCTGTATAATTTTAATAAGCTTGTGGATGTATCTTGGTTCAGAGTCAATTTGTATAGTAAATTTGTGATATCGTGGCTGATAATTTTTCGGGAGAGGGTTAGGAGGATTTAACACAAACAAAATTTCCAAGCTATGAAGGCCATTTTATTTGATACGCCACAATAAATTTAGGCCCATCACCCAATAATATCTAAAACAGTACCTTGAAGGTGCAGCTGCTAGGCGGTCTTAGCATTCTTGTTTTGTAATTTGTTATCTTCTCGAGGCAGAAGCCTTAATTGGTTGATAGTGAATACATGTTGTTATTTGCATTTTTTTAGCTGGAATACGTGATTTGCCAAGCAACAGGCAGTATAGTTTTAGCAAGATGGAGGGGAAGTGGCTCAGCTTGTCTAGAAATAATGGCATGGTTTATGGAGGCCCGAGTGTTTTGAAAGGTAAGGTATCGGGAATGAATGGAGGGAAAGTTTTATGGGGAATCATTAAAACGCTGTTGCACTGAGATGAAAAGGGTTATAGCGGGAGTTGGTAGTTGTTGATGGTGGGTGGAGCAGTGAGGCGGAAGAATTTTGTGTTGGTGATGCTGTGAGATGGGGAGCTGCATGTCTTTAAGTTTTAGAGTCCTTGGACTTAGTGTGTGGGGTGTTGAGAAAAGAGTTGGGTAGAGTAATGGGAAAGGGGAGTGGTCTTGGGTTTGAGGTCTGTTTGATATTTAAGGAATTTTTTAAAATGCTTTTTCAGGGACTTGACTGTACTCATCGCATGTTTATACTTGAACATATATGTTTTAGCAAATCTAGCTATGAAGCGGATTTGAGGTTGACTTAGAGTATGGAGTGACTTGATGAATGCCAGCCTGCTACACAGAGGGGCATCTTCTGAAGCATCTGTGATTAGGATTAACCTCAAGGAAATTCAGCTTTCTAGGCCATCATTCTTTATCTAAATCCCAAAGAATGTTTTATGCTTCCTTGATTTGGTTAGTCACTTTGGGATTTGCTGCTAGATACTCTTATAATGTGATTGTGAGAGTCCGAAGATATGCATTCAGTGAATACCAGGCAGCCGTCATGTATTGGGAATAGTTTCTTCCACCTAGTGTTTAGAGTCTTATGGTTGAAAATTGAGCTTGTTATGATAGAGAAGAGTAAATGCCCCAGAAGCATATGATCTCAGACAGTTACAATTATCTTAACGGTTACATATGTATTTGTCTTTGAATCTTTGAGATGGATGGTATGCTGGTAATGGGAATTTGTGCAAAAAATGTTCTACTTGGAGAAATGTTGTAAAGTTAGTGAATTTTCCTGGTAAATTGCGTTTCCCTGCATTGTAGATAAATCTTATTTTTATGCTTCATTAAGCTATATATGGATGTCCTTATTTTCCTTTCTCATGCTTGTACATGTGCGTGTTGTCTAGATTATGCAGTAGCTCTTTTTCATTCCACCCTCTTCATGATGATATTGTGCCACAGGGAACGAACAATCTATTGGAACTGTTGGAGAAAATGAATCTGAGAGTGGCAGAAGAGTACAAAGGTTTTGGTGATGTGGCTTCTGGATTGAGAGTTTTCATGGATCAGCTGAAGTCCAAAAGTGGAAGCTTTGACGAGTATGTTCAGCAGATTGATTTAATAGAGCGCCAAGTTACAGAGTTTGAAGCTGTAATTTCTATGCTCGATAAATATGTTTCTTTGTTAGAATCAAAAGTACAATCTGTGTACCAAACCCCACCACCATGAATACAATTACAATTTTTTCTTCCTGATATTTGATTCTGATTCTACTTAATTTGCCTCTCTTCTTTTTGCTTGTGTGCGCTCGCGCAACATCCTACTTTCCCAAGTGAAAACGTGTTTGCCTTGGTGATAAACGGGTGCATGACTTCCAGATTATGGCCTTCGAGACGTATGATATATTGGTCTAATCATGCCTTTGCACCCCAATTGATTTCCAGAAAGCGAAGGAATGGCTGACTCTCCTGTGCAAGTTGGCCACCAGGTGAAGCCTGAGGTGCAGTTGTGATTAAGTTCAAACCACGATCCAATATCCATTGACCATTAACCAAGAAAAAATGGTGTCAAGGAACAAGGACACCCCGAATAATTGAACTATTTTAAACTACTACTTTCCAACCAAAAAAAATTATTATTTTCATATATTTTTATTAGTTGCACATACTTGAGTGTGTAAAAAAAAATTGAAGGAATAAACACAACCCAAAAAATTTAAAATTAATTCATTTCAATATCTTTTTATTAGTCGCCACGCACCTGGGTTTGTTAAAAAAGAGTGAGGGAATAAGCACAATCCCCTTATTATCAAGAGAATTATAAAACTTTACTTGGACGTAGGTCAAGAAATCAAACTCCCTTGCTTATGTTCTAAAACATTCAGATTTTTTTTTAAATATTAATAGAACGAGTACATAGACACATGTTTGATTTGGCAGTAGTTTAGTCCCTCCTAATTGTTTTGGGACCTCTGCAGCTCCCCCAAATATAGAATAGTGTGGGTGTCGGTTACTTTTTTTTTGTTTTTTTGTCAAAAATGGGGTCGGTTACTTGGTGGCCCCAAGAAATGGATAATAGCCGGGTCGGACTATTCACGCAATTTTGCAGCTCCGGAAGTTCCCAATTCCACCTCGATCAGGTCTGACCACGGCCAGTCGGTAAGCCTCCGCTTCTTCAGTTCTGATCTTCTTATTCTTCCGTCCTCTTCAACCATCTTCCCTCTTTCTCCAAAACCCCAAGAAGAAAATGACCATTGCCATGGGTCCGCCACCACCTAGAAACCCCATCTCCACCACCTCCCAGTCCCAAGCCAGAAACCCAGAAGAACCTTCAGCTTCAAGTGCTGCTTCTTCTTCATCCTCCGCATCCCAATCAACAACTGATACGTCTTCAATGGGTCCCCCTCCCCCTAAAATTCACAACGCTCCCGAACCAGCGCCCGCCGCGGAACGTTCTGCCGATACCCCCCAACCAAAGCCTTCCGAAGCTGATGATTCTGTTTCTGAGACTGTTGATTCCAAAGAGGGCGCCAGCTCCAGCTCCACAAAAGACACTAGCCAAACTGGGAGACAACAAGAGAAAGGCTTTAGTAATTCTACGGATATAGCAGTGGCTTATAAAATTCCAGAGTGGAACGGGCCCCCTTGCCATCACTATTCTCTTGAAGTTCTCAAAGATGGCTCCATCATTGACCAATTCGATGTGTATGTCTTCTGTAAAACTTCCAACTTGTTCTGTCTTTCTTATACTGCTATATTCTCCCAGAAAAATTGTTGAAAAGAAAAAGGTACTTGTCCTTCTGTTGGCAGAAAATGCTGAACTGTAGAATTTAGAGATACTTTTCGTGCAAATTTAAGCATTTGAGTTCAGGAGCTGGCTGCCTGGCTTATGCTTCAACAATTTTACTCTGTTGAAAGGGGCACCGAATATCCATCAGTTAACTTAATTCGGATACTTATTGTTTGCCATGTGTTTGCATTTAAAATTTTTGGGAAAGGGTCAATTGATGCTGGTCTTTTTGTGTTTTAATTGTCTACCTGATTGTTTTTGTTCTGCTTTTGAGAAAAGAAAAGAGGGAGCAACTGTTACTGTAATTGCTGGTTTCATGTAAATTTCAAAGTTTGCATGATTGTTCTAATGATGTTCCAGATTCAAGAAGGGGGCTTACATGTTTGGGCGTGTTGAACTCTGTGATTTTGTCCTTGAGCATCCAACGATCTCACGGTTCCATGCTGGTAAAGATTTTTATTCATTTGTCTTTATGGTACAATTTTGCGTTTTATCTTCCCTGTCTAGTTGGTCTGTGTTGTGTCCTATATTTAAATCGTACTGGCCTGAAGGTGACATTTTATGATGGATGTAATGATGCCCGCATTATGCCATGTACCACAACCAGGTTCACGGATGGCCTCTTTGCTTTACCACATGGTTGACAGCCTTGTTCTCTGTAGAAATTAACAATTTTTCTAATTCCAAACAAATCCAAGACCCCTATCTAGGTTGTTATTATCAGCTTCTGAAATGAGGTTATTGAAAAGTAACTCCTTTTGGCATCCTATTATTCTGGGCCATGCTGTACTAATAACTAATGTCTCCTGTCCTCTTCTTCTTCTACATCATTCAGATGCAGTGTAATAAGCAAAAGAATTCAATAGTTTGGCCAATTATGTAATGTTTTAATCTTGAAGCTGTATTGGTTCCGTCAATCACACACCACATATTCCCTTGTCGAGTTTTTGGTGACTAGATGGATACAGACAATGTTTCATCTCTTATTTTTGCCAGTTATCCAGTTCAAGAGCAATGGAGAAGCTTATATCTATGATCTTGGTAGCACACACGGGACTTTCATAAACAAGAATGAGGTACTCACTTCTATTCATTTATTCATATAATAGTGTGTAGTTGGTAAACCTCCAAATTGGAAATTATCCTATACCCACTTGTGCTAGACTGCTGATTAAGAATAAAATCTGCTTTCAATTCTTTGAGACTTTGGAGTGTTACATGTTGCAATGATTGTTCAACATTTTTTTGTTAGAATGCTATTGCTCTAATTTGTTGTCTACTTTTTGAGATATTAGGTGAAGAAAAAGGATTACGTGGAGTTGCATGTTGGTGATGTGATTCGCTTTGGCCAGTAAGCAATTTCTTTATGGTGGTGTTGTTGTATCATACATTTTGGTCATCATTTCATCAAAAATTTCATTGAGATGTGGATTCTTCAGCCTAATTAGTTGTATCTTTTTGTCGTTATTTTGAGGATAGATGAATATGATTTAACCACATGTTATTTAGATGTGTGAGGAGCATTATTTTATTGAATTCCATTACAGAGTATTGTTTGTAAACAAGTTGAGATAAATGTCATAGTTGGTTATGAGATAGTCTTCTTCTAATTGGTATTTGTTTTGTGCAGTTCATCTCGGTTGTACATATTTCAAGGACCAACTGACTTGATGCCACCTGTAAGACAAAATCTTTTCTCATCATTTTGTGACTATAACTCTCTCTCTTTCAGACACACACAAAAACTAATCACTTACACTAAATTCTTATTCGGCGAGGTTTTAGCTGTGTCTATATCCATATAATCAGAGAATTTATTCTATTGTTTCTGCTGAAGGAAGCTGACTTGAAGACTATACGCACTGCTAAGATCCGACAGGAGATGCAAGATATGGAAGCATCACTTTTACGAGCAAAACTTGAAGCATCTTTGGCTGATGGTATATCATGGGGCATGCAGGAGGATGCTATTGAAGAAGCTGAGGTTTGGATGACTTTCTTAGCACCTCTTTTCACTGTAAAAGTTTCAATGAATAGTTGCAAGTCATTATTTTAAAAAAAAATTTCATTAGCAGCTTCGTTGGAATAAATGTCTATATGTTGTTGTTTGCAATTACTTTTTTTTTTAATTTTATTTTATTCTGTTCTTAATGAGGATGTGTTCCTCTCTTATCTACTCCATAATAATATTCTATAGTTTCTTTTCCACTAACTGAAGTTATTTCGGATGCTTAGGATGAAATTGATGAAATAACTTGGCAAACTTACAAGGGACAACTTACGGAGAAGCAGGAAAAAACACGTGAAAAAGTCATGAAAAGACTTGAAAAGGTGAGCAATGGTTTTGCTTGATCTCATATTTTAGGAATATTATTGTATAAGATGAACTGCATGTGATGATGTATTTGTTATGAAAATATCTATTGGTTCATTTTTTCATTCTACGAGTATTTGAAGTGATTCTTTCAAGCCCTGCAATCTGTTGTGAAAATATCTTTTAGCCCATTTGTTATGATGTATGTGATTGTCTCCAACTTGTGTTGCTTGGACTTTCCATCCATTGCATGCTACCTGTTGAAAAAGGAAAAAGTCATAATCATGAGTTTCGATATGTTTATGCATACAAATTGCCTATTTTTGAGTATCCAGACAGGATATAGAGCTTCTGTGCTTAATTTTCTAATTCTGTCTCCATACAAGAATGCACATCTGAGTCTATTCACTCTGACCACTGAGTGTTCTACCTTCTCAATTTAGTATCTGTGTGATGTGGCTCCCCATTTATTTTTCTCTTCTTAGTCAATGGCTTTATGTACTTGGGATCTATGTGAGCAAGCAGGTAACAAGACATGCTAACTTTTTGTTTTGCCCGATGCTCTGTTGAACCTATCACTATTTCATGCCTGAGATGGTATAATTCGTTTGAAATGAATGCCACTGTGTTCTGGCTCCTCAGTTTCATCCTGATCAAATAGCTTAGAAAAGCCATATTTCAAGGTTCTTTTCTGATATTTGCGTAAAATGCTTGCTTGCAGATTGCTCATATGAAGAAAGAGATAGATGCTATTCGGGCCAAGGACATTGCTCAAGGTGGGTTGACGCAGGGACAACAGACCCAGATTGCTAGGAATGAACAGAGGATATCACAAGTATGTATTAGTGAATGGGTTGAACAATGTATTTAAATATTTGTCTCTATGCTCTTTCTTGTTTTGTCTATTTTATGTTGAAGAAAATTTTCCCAAAAAAAAAAGTCTTCCTGTGGTAAGTTCATGGAAATGCTTTTCCATGATTCTCGTTTAAGAATTTTTCTTAAATTACTTGGGACTTGACTATTGTTTGGGTAACCGTTAGTTGTAGCTTTCTGCTTCTCATTATTTTCATCATCATAATGCATTTGCTTTTTGCTGAATCTTGACTTGTTTTATGAATTCTGTTGCTGAAATTTGCTTAGATCATGGAAGAGCTTGAAAACTTGGAAGAGACGTTAAATGAAAGTATTCGAGAAAGCCTTGGTGCTCGTGCTGGAAAGACAACACGTGGTAAGAGACAAGGGGCGACAGAGGACAATGAAGAAGATTACCTGAGGTAGGTTGGAATTGGTTTGTTTAATGCTAATTTCTTATCTTTAACTAGAAAATTTAACTCAATTCTATATCGTGCAAATTCCCCTCAAACAAGCTGAGCTTCAAAAATTTCCTCATCCCCCAAAAACAAAAAGAAAAAGAAAAAAAGAAAAAGAGGTCGCAATCTTTGTGGCTTGTAGATCTACAGGTTTGGTTCATGCTTTCTGAGGAAGGAGATCAAAGCATAGTAAAACTGAACTTGTGAAGTTGGTACATTTGGATGGCTAGCTAACATCTTATACTTAACAGTGATGATGATGATTTCTATGACCGGACGCAGAAGCCTTCTAAGAAGAAGAGTGGAGAAAACCAATCAATTGAGACTGCTGACTCTCTTCTTGAAAAGAAAGAAGCCATTCTTAAAGAGATGGAAGACACAAGAAACTTACTTCTGAAGGAGGACAAAAGTGTGCCCAAAAGAGAAGTTGCTGGAGAAGGAGATGCACTTGATGCATATATGTCCAGCGTATCATCTCAGCTAGGTGAGTAAAATGGTTGGTTAGACATTTTTTAGCAGCATTTTAGTTTTAGGTGACCCAGTTCTTAGTTTTGTTTTATTTGCTGATAAACCCTTCTTATTTGTCCTTCTATGCTCCTTTAAACATCTTCTCTCTTTTCCTTTTTTTTTTTTTTTGTTTCTTCTCCTTCCAATTGCTATTTCCTCCAATCCCCAGCATTCAACAAATGCTGTTTCTTTCTCTTCGCTTGTCCCTTTGCCCTTATGAGACTAGACACCACACAATCCCCAAAACAGCTTTTTGATTTTGCTGTTCTTTTTCCATGTGTTGTTCGAGTCATGAATGTTGCTGATTAGTTGTCGGTTGTTAGTGGAACAACTTCTTGTGCTGCTTTGCGAATAGTTCAAATAATCACTTGTGACATTTGATTTCCTACATTACTGAGATTTTTTGTTCTGTTCAGCTTTGCTTAAAATCTTACTGAAAAATTGTACTCTTTGATTTGCTAAAATGATGGCAGCATTTGACAAGAAGGATAAGCTTGAAAAGGGCTTGGCCTCTCTGCAGTCAGAATTGGATAGGGTCTCATACTTGCTGAAGGTTGCTGATCCTACGGGAGAAGCTGCTCGGCGAAGAGAATCAAAAGCACAAGAACCAAGACACAATGTGGTAGTTGCTGCTTCTGATGCTGTAGAGCTGTCACCATCCGAAAAGCGTCAAAGCAACAGACAAGAGCGCTCCGTATGTGGTTCAGACAAACTTGAGAAAGTACAGAATAGATCCAGCAGTAAAGAGGGCAAGATTGATGCAACTGCAGATTCCAGCAATAGGTTGGAAGCAAGTGAGAATGTGGCTGATGCAACAGATGATGAAGCCGCTGTCTATACAGTTGCCAAGGCCCAGTGGCTTGGTGCTGTGGACTGCCAAAAAGAGCAAGAGACCAGACAAGAAAGCCAAGTAGATGTGGAAGAGCATGATCAGTTTGTGGACTACAAAGACAGGAAGGCAATTCTTGAAAATACGGATGGTGCAAAATCGAGGGAGACCTCAGGAATTGAAAATGCAGCCCCTGGTTTGATTGTTAGGAAGCGGAAGCATGTTGAGAAGTCGGACCTCACTGACGTGAAGGATTCTGAACCATACAAGGAGGCTGAAATAAAGGCGGAAGATGCTGTAGCTCTGCTATTGAAGCATTCGAGAGGAATCCATACGTCCGATGAGATGGAACAAGATAGTGAAAATGTTCCCCAAAGCAAACAAGCAAGGAAGGACAAGAAGAAACCTAAGAGACTGCTTGGTCCTGAGAGACCATCGTTTCTGAATAACGAGTCTGATTACGAGTCCTGGGTGCCTCCTGAAGGTAAAAGTCCTATTGATTGCACGCTTGTTTAATGCAGGATACTTTGATGTCTTTTGCTATACTCATTTCTTGTGCATATCTGATCTCAATTCAGGCCAATCTGGCGATGGACGCACATCTTTGAATGATCGTTATGGGTATTGACTTTGGATCTCAATTCAGGCCAATCTGCCGCAGACTGACTGAAACTTATGAAGTGGCAGATGCGGGTAAAGCCCTTCACAGGTATTGCTTGGCGCTCGGCAGTTGATTAACATTATGCGTCGAATGTTTATTCAAAAGCATTTTTATTCTGCAGAGAAGTGTACTAACACCAAACGTCTTTCTTTCTTAAAGCAACAAATCAGTATAGCTCTTTTACGCTCAATCAAGTGCTAATAGTTGGCTAAAAAATTGACACTGTATATACGGTCAAATTATGTCTGCCCGGCCCGGGAGGTTCCTTTGTAAAGACCTGAAAACGGAAAGCTGCCAACTTTGCGATCCGTGCTCGTAAATTAATTAGTAGTGTACACATTCTTATACTTCCTTCCCGCTTTGATTGCTTTCTACAATTGACACACACTTTTTTTATTTTATTTTATTTTGCGTGCTGTTTTTTTATTTTTTTTGGGTTATTATTAAATGTCAATATTAAGCATCTGAGATGGGGAAGCAGGCAGGGCAATGCATATGCAGAACATTGCACAGCGCAGGAAAGGATATCGACTTGACCGGTGGCACGTGCGAGGCTTGATTGGTTTACCTTAGTTAGTGGTATTTATATTTGAGTGGCATTGAAAGTTGTTCTTTTTCTTTCTTTTTTCAGTGTTATTCGTATTATATTATTAGATGAAACGCCAGCACTGAGGGGGCTTAGAAAATAGTGACAAAGAGGCTTTATTATATTTATGTATTGCCACCCTATTAACATTTATTATTATTAGGGTCTGCTGTAGAAATGCGCTCCACATGTGTAGGTGACTTGCCCTCGTTGGAGGAAGAGCCGTTTTTTTTCTTATTCTGCTTAGTTATGTTTGGTTTTCTTTTTTCTCATCTTCCACTCATTGTGCTTTTTAGTGCAAGAACTCGTTTCTAATATTTGGTAACAATTAATGAATCATCAGCATTTTGTTAACAATTAATATATAAAAACACAAGCAATTGTTAATAAAAATATATTTTACTAAATTTTTATTATCATTGAATGTGCACTTTCAATTTCTTGTGATAAATTATGATAATTGAGTTTTTTCCCCATGACAGACTAACAATCTTAATTTAGCATAAAAAGAAACTCTTTACCGCACATTATCATCACAATTTGTGAACCGGGTCACTCACTGAGGGCATTATTGTCTTTTTGCAGTTCAGGTACTTTTAACTCTCTATTTTTTTTTTTTTAAAAAAAAAAATAAGCACAAGCACAGCATAAAAGAGGGTAAAATCGCTACTACCTCTATTTGAAAGAAGAGGCAATCAATCCGTAAATTTTAAGCCAGTTGAAAAGAAACACTACTACCACTACTACTATAGTTAGTGGTTTCTGGGTCTACTCTGAGAGAATTAAGAAACGAAGACCCTTTGCCTCAAATATACAGCTCTATATACAAAAACACGAGGAGGAGAGATGGTGTAAAGCAGGCTGGTAAATCGACCTGAGAAGCATCTGCATTACTGCTGTACAACAAAATTGTGGATATACGGCGGACGCCTTGTGGGTACTTCCTCGATGCATCCCTACGGCTTTCCGGTCTCTTGTTAGTCTCGTCTCGTCTCGTCGGGGAATTCATAATGTAATAGATACACATCGCCGAAAGCCCTTCACGGTGAAACAACGCTATGCAAGCACACTATTGCGCTTTCCTTTGGTCATACATATAATAGTCTTATTCAGAAGCTATGCGACATCAACTTGAGAACACTCAAAAGCTCTTGATACCCGTTTAGGTTGAACTTGCACATCTCCCTGTAAACATCCATCCCCCAACACTCAAGTGTATAAGAGATCCGTGGACTCTGAAATGATCAAACCTTACGCTTAGATACTGCAGAGCCAGCTCATTGATGGTGTACAGTGTTTTGGTTGAAGGCTCTCGTCTTCTCTTCATCATCCTCATTGATGGAAAGATTGAACCACAGTAAAAGCATAGAGATGCTATGTGCATTTCTAGTATCGATAAAAATGCCCGGCATTCAATTTCCTGGATATATTGTGTCAGTTAAAGAAATACGTGGAATCCAGAACATCTTTAAGATCGAAGTCACCCCGCTCCGGCAAAGCTGGAAAAGACAATGACGGAAAGGTCTTTTGAAAGTTCTCCAACAACTGTGTGAGGAATAAAATATTTAAGCCCAGTGGTATGGGTGAAGTAAGAAAGGATGTAGCAGGTAAGGAAAATCTAATATTTACTTTTGCACACGCGTCATTTGAATCAAAGGAACCAATAATGACTGCCAAACAATCGGATGACAGAAGAAAAAATTCACAATTCTTATCCAGATCAATAGCAGAGGCATTTGAGATTTGACATATTATACTGAAGAAGATGCTCAGACTTCATACTAATATTAAAGTGGTGTTGCCCAGACCATACGGGGGTAAAGATTCCTTACCATAGGCTTTGTTAGTTGAAACAAAAAGCATATCAAATTAACGATGGTGGAGATACTCACATTCTCAAGTATTGGTGTTTCATAGAGTTCAACAAACTTCTCTCTTAGTATCCTGTTCATTTCATCCACATCACATGCGTGTGTCCAATAAGAATCATGAACACCTGTGGTCATTATACGGGGAGTAAAATTTCACAAGTAGAGATACGCGAGCTGTGGAAGAGTGTAATGGAAAAAAAAAAGGAGCGTATGAGCAGAACCTGCAAAATTCAAGCCTGCCTTTCTGCATGCAACTGCCGTCATCATCATATGTGAACCATCGAGGGAATGGACAAAATTTGGAGGAAAAGCTGTCCTTTGCCTCTTTACCATGACCTATACCACATAAAGGGGAGAAAAAAAAAATAAATCAGGAAGTTACTCCAGCAATCTAGCAAGTTAATGGAAAAACCTCACACCACAAAGGGCAAGACAGATGCCAATACAATCAAGAGGTCCTAAACCTAACAATTACGACTTCTGTTGATGGCAGCTGATTTCCCAAAACTATATACTGCAAACTGCTAAGATAAGACGTCTTTAAATGCTTTAAATTGTCTATGTGAAGAGAGATGAAAAACTTCAAAGCGATTTGCATGGTCTTCTTACAAGCACCGCCACCTGATGGGATAACCCTCTAAAGTATGTAAGCAAATTTTATCAGAAAGCCTGGCTCAACAAGTAAATCTTTTGCTAAAAACAGTGCGAAACATTTGTAAGGTCTGCTATACATTTTGTTATGGCAAATATGAATAAAGCTCCAGATTATCCTCTTGTTGACTGATTCACCCGATGAGAATTGCATTGCAACCATAGATGGATAAGCTTTAAGAGTCATACTTGGACCAACAACATCGATTACTACTACCTTCTCTGTTTCGCGTTGCAGTGTCAACACCTGAAGTGAAGTCTTAATCTGCATGCAAATGAAAGTTATACATCAAACAAACATTAATGGCCACAAAAGAAAAACAAGATATAATGTGAAAAACATCCAATACTCACAAGATGCCTTCCTAGCTGACGGTAGGGCTGCACAACAGGAAGTCCAAGTGGAGTCATCCACCTAACGGTCTGGTTTTCAGATGCAATAACCTGTCACAGCTTTTTGGTTAATTGACAGGAAAAGATGGCTAGTTGGTGATTTTCCAGGACCAAGCAACTAAATGAGACAATTACCAAAATAAATTCTATGAGCAATATTTAGTTCATAACTCAAAATGGAATCATTCTTATCAAAGTGTACCTCATATAGACACTAAAATTAGGATGGAAAACAATGCACAAGAAGATAGGATTACTGCCTTGTATCGGTTAATATTTTCGAAGTCTTCATATAAGATATCTCTTGAAGACAGACAAGATTGTAATAGAAGAGCTCAGCTAAACTGGTATATAGGTTACACAAAAAACATTAGATCAGATATCATCTGCTTTATATTGCACATAAGATGATTATTGGAGCAATGCAGAGAAATTTTCATTTGGCCTAATTTAGAAATTCCTCTAGGCAGAAAAGAAAGGTACGGTGTCATAGCAGAGAAGTCAATTGGAGGAAATCTACCAAAAAACCACTGCCAATGACGTCTGATTTCCACTAAACTAACCACTCACTATTCAGAAGATTGTTGATAAATAAATTCACCAGGTACCATCCACGATTATACAAAATCAAATGCATTCTGGTACACACCTTTGCACATTCTCCAAGCCAGCTCATGATACTTCGTGCAGCTTCAAACATTTCCTCTAATGCAGTCAAGGTGACCTACCAATGTACCAAACAGTGAAGAAGTGTTATCATGGAGTGGATAAATCTTGATTGAATGACACATGCATGAGTACTTATGAATCATGAATCATCTTAAGTTACAGGAGGAATGCTATCGTATTACTCACAAGCTCCTAATCTAACCAGGTCATTGAGAAGATTCTAATTCCCGATACAAATATTAAATTCATCACATTTCTGATTGAGTCAAGACATTGAATATTAATGTCCATCTCAAAGTCCCCATTGATGTCAAGGCAAAGATGCAAATTACACATTTAATCACCACTAACACAATCTCAATTTCCCAAAAAGCTCAATTTGAAGTTGTATATCAACTGGTTTTAGCTGAATGAGAGACTAAACCTTAAGGGAGGTACTCTTACTATTAATACATCATCAGATAAGCAAGGCACACAGCCTTTTCTTGATCCAACTATTCACGCATAGATGAGCATGATCATGCTCGTTCCATCTAACATTATAATTCATCAAATGCAGTAAGATTGAGTTAATATATAAGGCCAGCGTCTTGTCCATACTTTTGCAGCATAACAAGCCGCACCAAAGAGCTCTGCATCATCAGCAATTGCACCACGCTCCTTCAATCTCCTCTTAATTTGATCACGAGCACCAATATAGGTTACACCATACACTGAGGTCATCACTGTTTGCTTGACCAATTTCCTGTCAACCTAAATTTCAATCAGAATACAGGCAGTTAGCCACTTTGCAAAGCTATTAACAGGAGGATTAGCAAGCAGTGACCCTACCAACTACTATAGATTTGAAATATCATTTTGATCAATCTACATGAGCAAGAAAATGCATGGTGAAAGACTATATTTGTCAAACTCCTCGCCAGGACCAGCAAATGCTGAAAACATAACTTTAAACGATACAAGATCTATGACAAACAATCAGACGACCATAATTTCCATAAAACCATAAAAAGAGAAAGGCAGAACCTGATTGACTAAAACCCTTGCTCGCAATGCATCTGGAAAAACTGCAGGATCTTTTTGTGCATCTCTCTTCATGATGTTCAGAACTCTGCATTAACAGTTTATGATGTTCAAAAGAATGACTTGTACCACGAACTTAAAAGTGCAGGTAAACCATAAATTCTCAAGAAATTGCACTGTTTTGCAATTCCTAAAGGATACTGAACGGGTCAGAAAAGTTACAATAATTCAAAGCTTTTTTTTTTTATGCTAAAATGACAACCATATAAGGTTCAACCTTCAAAGGATTATATTTCAGTAAGCTTTGCACCCTGTCAGAAAGAACTAAAATGACAACCATATAAGGTTCAACCTTCAAAGGATTATATTTCAGTAAGCTTTGCACCCTGTCAGAAAGAACTCAAAAAATATTCAGTCTTCTAATTACAAAAGTTCCCTTTTATATGCTCAAAAAAGGCATCAATGTAAGTTAAAAATTACGTAAACTCCAAGAAAACAAGTAGTATTCTTGTGAACTTAATTTTACCAGTTTAAGTAGTTGCAGAAAATAGTTTGTAAATGAAGCTGTATGCAAAAGCTGAACTCAAGCAATAAAGACATTTCAACCATTAGATGATATCAATCACCCAA